AACAAACTTCAATTTAAAAAAATTTATGTACTACTATTAGAGATGCTCTAATCGCTCTATATCCCAAAGTAACTCCACTTCCTCTTCCCTGCCTTCAAAGGCCGTCTTATTTTGTTCCAACCAAATTATCCAAATGATAGCCAACACCGCGCAACTCAAAAGAGTAACCGCCTTTTTGTATTATTCAACACGAAGAACAGTCAACAAACAAAAAATAACAATTCTGACTCTGAGGACAAACCCACACCTTACCAAACACCCTTAATAACTCAGCCCATAATTTCCTTGTCAACAACAATTTCATCTAAACCATGTACGACCTCAATAATAAATGAAAATTACGATCAAATAAAATTCTAAGTACAACCTCACACCAGACCAAGAACCCCCAGCAGTTCCCCTTCTTTTCAAGAGTGATTCTCTCTATATCATTCCAGTTTTTTGGCTGACTCAGGTCATTGGGGAAATTTTACCCATGTCTGCCGTTTGTGCAAATTTCCCTTGTGATTGGTTGTTAAAATTCATGTTCCCACATCTACCATATTGTTATTGAAATGGCTCCTTTTATAGCCTGTGTCCTACTTATTTTTGCATGAGATGAAAGGGGCTTATGAAAAACGGTGGTATTATTACATTATGCTATAAGAAAAACAAAAGCTACGGGAGAGTTAATTTCCTAAATTTGTAATTGAAAATAATGAGGGGAAATACCGTAAAATACCATCAAGACCAAACTTATTTCTCCAAATATCATTCTTGGTTAGACATTTTGGGAGTATTAAGTATAAATACATACTTATTGGACCCTTATCATTTTTTCTTTTCCCTCTCAGCTCTCTCTCTCTCTCTCTCTCTCTCTCTCTCTCTCTCTCTCTCTAAGCTACTCGTGCAAGGTAACATATCTCTTTCTCTTCCTCTCTCTTTCTCGCCCTCTCACCCCCTAGCCCTTCACTTGCTGTGTTTGGGCTTAGTGTTAAGTTGCTCGGTTGGGTTTCTCAAATATGACTACCCCTTTTGATTTGCTTGTTCAACTCTTACTTTTTGATTTCATATTTTTGTAGAATTTTCTCTACAACCAAACAATGTGGGTACTTTTTACAGACGGCTGGAATTTTATTTTTGGCCATGACTGACTATGAGGAAAAAGTTGGGTGAAGGAGCTTTTGTAGTGGTTTACAGAGTTTCATTGGCTAATAAGAAGTCTTCTTCCAAGGTATGATTCAGTTATTTCTACAGAAACTGATGTAGGATACATTGCATGGATTGGGAAATGTCTTGTCATATCTGGATGAAGAATTATAGTAACAAGAATTTCAGAAATTGAGGTTGATTTTGGAAGATATTATCTCTGCATATTATTGTAAGTTCTTTCTTGTCTTTGAAACTTAAATACTAACCTTGTTCTGACATGGTAGCTTAGGATTTGTATAGAAGCCTTCTTCACCTATGCAGTTCTTTATCTCTTTCTCAGATGGGGTGATATTGCTTTTGAGAATTTTTAACTGCTAGGGAAGGGGCTGCTATTTATATGCATTAGGTTCAGGTATTTTGCCCATCGAAGAATACCTGATCCTATCCTGATTGCATTAGGAATAAGTGTTTCAATCCATATATGATTAGGAATTCTCAAGGTTCTAGTTATCCAATTAATATTGCACTTTAACTAGAACTGCAGATCTGCTCTAATCCTATTTCTTGACTAACACCAAAGCTGTAAACCCAATGTGATTAGAAGACCATCTATAAGTGGATTAAGACGATGCAATGTCTTACAGTCTCCCACTTGGTCAAATAATCACAACAGTCCATGGTGTAATCACTTTAAGGCCTTGTGAAACAAGATAGAGCAATTCCTACTAAGCCACTGTCAATTACGAAAAACTCCAGTGAATTATCGAAATTACTTGAACAAAACATTTCAAGATTCCTATAATTACAACTGAAATCCTTCAAAATCACATAAGGCTTCGATCAAGATTGAAACCAGAAATCTGCATGACTTAACTGTCTGTGCAAAACAAGTCATGCTTCATTCATTGCCCCTTAATGACTACTAAGGTCTAATTGCAAAAATTGCACAAATGTCATGAATATACTGTGTTATAGCAGTTACTTTATTTGCTAGCTATTACTGCTTTACATATACATTCAAGTATGAAATATATCCAAACAGATTAATTAATTAAAACAAAAGAAAACAACACTTTATAAATTCTCAAACTACCAGATCATCCATCGAAACTTTTACTAATTAACCAAACATAACCACTGATCTTAAGACAAAACTGAAACGCTCCCACTGATCTTAAGACAAAACTGAAATGCTCCCACTGATCTAGCCACTCTTATCTTCCATTAATCCCATATTCTGAACATGTCTGTGAAAAGCTTCCTTTGGCAATCCTTTAGTGAGAGGGTCTGCCACCATGTCATTTGTGCTGATATGATCCAAAACTGTGTAGCCATCTCTTATCTTTTCTTTGACTGTAAGAAACTTAACATCCAAAATCCTTGAAGCCTTTGTTCTTTTGTTTCCCTTTGCAAACAAGACTGCTGCACTATTGTCATTCCACAGCTGTACAGGTTTATGTATAGAGTCCACTATTTTCAGGCTTGTAATAAAATTCTTCAACCACATTGCCTGTGCAGTAGCTTCATAACATGCTAAAAATTCTGCCAACATTGTAGATGCTACTGTTAGAGATTGCTTGATGCTTCTCCAAGATACAGCAGCATCTGCAAATGTAAACACATATCCTGATGTTGATCTGAGATCATCCTTACAACCTGCAAAGTCTGCATCTGCAAATCCTTCTAATGTCAAACTGTCACTTCTTTTAAATACCAACTTGTAATCCATAGTCCTTTTCAAATACCTTAATACCCTTTTGCCTGCAACCCAATGCGCCTGTCCAGGATTAGATTGAAACCTCCCTAACACACTAATAGGAAAAGCAATGTCAGGTCTGGTGCATACTTGTGCATACATCAGACTTCCTACCAAAGATGCATAAGGTTTGTCACTCATTTCAGCCTTCTCTTGCTCAGTTTTTGGTGCCTGTTCTCTGCTCAGTTTGTCTCCTTTTGATATAGTGCAACATTGACAAATCTGTGCATGCCAATAAAATATCATCCACATATAGTACTAGTATGATGAAATTCCTCCCACTCACCTTCATGTAAATACATTCATCCAATGCATTTTCTGTAAAACCATACTGTTTAACAACTTCATCAAACTTAATGTACCATTGTCTTGAGGCTTGCTTAAGACCATAAATAGATTTGCACAGTTTGCATACAAGATTTTCTCCCTTCTCTTGAATGAAACCCTCTGGTTGTTTCATATATATATCCTCCTTTAGATTTCCATTCAAGAATGCTGTCTTTACATCCATTTGATGCAAATGCAAATCAAAATGAGCCACTAGTGCCATTATCACTCTAAACGAGTCTTTGGTTGAGACTGGTGAGTATGTTTCATTATAGTCTATCCCTTCTTGCTGTGTGTATCCCTTGGCAACTAGTCTTGCCTTATATCTGTCAATTTTCCCTTTAGAGTTCCTCTTAGTCTTGAAAACCCACTTGCAGCCTATAGGTTTACAACCTTGTGGCTGATTAACTAGTTTCCATACACCATTCTTCTCCATAGAACTCAGTTCAGATTTCATAGCTCCCCACCAATTTTCACTCTTCTCACTGGACATAGCTTGTTTATAGTTCATAGGATCTTCAATTGAATTCACATCATGCTCAGATTCTTGCAAATAGACATAGTAATCATCCGGCAATGCTCTTTTCTTTGGTCTTTGAGATTTTCTTAATTCTATGTCCATCTGATTATTGGTTTGTTCTGCAGGCAGATTCATATTTGTGTTTTCTGGTGGCAAATCTTGCATTTCTTGATTTTCCTGCTCAAGTATCATGTGATCTTCAACAAAACTATCTTCTTGTACAGATGGCATGCCACTCAACTCAAAACTGGGCAGTGTAAGAATTCTGCTATCTGTATTAGAACTTACTGTTTCTGCATTTTCTGTCACCACTTCATCAAAATCAAAATTTTCTTCTTCTGTTACCTCAGTTTCAGACTCAATAAACACAGCTCTTTGTGTTTCTACGAATCTAGTTGTGTTTTGAGGGCAATAGAACCTGTAGCCTTTAGTCCTTTCTGGATAGCCAACAAAATAACCACTGGTTGTTCTTGAATCCAACTTTTTCTCCATAGGATTGTACAGTTTTGCTTCTGCCTTACACCCCCAAACTCTCAAGTGATTCAAACTTGGTTTTCTTTTCACCCACACTTCATAAGGGATAGCATTCACACTTTTAGTAGGTACCCTATTTAATATGTAGTTTGCAGTCTTTAAAGCCTCTCCCCAAAGAAATATCGGCAACTTGGAACAACACATCATACTTCTCATCATATCCTTTAGAGTTCTGTTTCTCCTTTCTGCAATTCCATTCTGTTGAGGAGTGCCTGGATTAGTATACTGTGCAATAATTCCCTCTTGTTGTAGGAACTTAGCAAAAGAACCAGGATTTCTCCCAGTTTCATCAAACCTTCCATAATACTCCCCTCCTCTGTCAGATCTAACTACTTTGATCTTTAGGTCCAACTGTTTTTCTACCTCAGCTTTATAGATTTTAAACATGTCCAATGCACTGGATTTCTCTTTAATAAGAAAAACATGTCCATATCTAGAGTAGTCATCTGTAAAGGTTATAAAATAGTTGAACCCTTCATGAGTTGGAGTTGGAAAAGGCCCACAAATGTCTGTGTGTATTAGTTCCAGCAACCCTTTGCTCCCTATTGCTCCTTTCTTCCTTAAATTTGTCAGTTTTCCTTTTACACATTCAATGCATACTTCTTCTGTGTTATGATTCAATGGTGGTATGACTAATTCTTTGCATAGGATTTTAATTCTATCCTTTGAAACGTGACCAAGTCTTTTATGCCATAGAGTGTAGGAAGCTTCTTTGTTTGTTTGAGTTTCAACAGAGTTAATTTCCATGATTGTTTTGCAACTTAATCGAAACATGCCATCAACAAGATTTGCTTTTCCAACTAATTCTTTATTTCTGAAAATAGAACAACCAAAATCATCAAAGTTCAAAGTGAACTTTGATTTTACAAGCCTAGCAACTGAGATTAGGTTCTTCCTCATAGCAGGAACATAAACCACATCTTCTAATTCCAAAACAAAACCAAAAACTAATTCAATCCTAACTACTCCAATAAAATCAACTTGAACTTTCTCTCCATTGCCTACGAACACCTTCACTTCATCCTTGCTTGGGGGCCTCTTCCTTATGAACCCCTGCAAAGAATTAGTCACATGAATAGATGCTCCACTGTCTAACCACCATGAATCACAAGAAAAATCAACTAAATTCGATTCAAAACAAACTAGGATCTGATTAGTGTTACCTTTAGCCTTTTGTTTGTCCAACCACCTCTTGTACCTCCTACATTCTTTCTTCATATGTCCACCTTTCTTGCAGAAGAAGCATTTGTTTCCAACTGGTTTGAGAGCACTTGAATTGTCCTTTTCTTTCTGTTTATTAGTTTCAGAGTTTTTGTTCCACTTATGCTGCTTTGCTTGAACCATATTTATCACCTTAGCTCCCCTTTCTCTTATCAGATTGTCCTCAATTTCGACACTTATAGTGATGAGATCATTAAGTGTCCAACTTTCTTTCTGAGCTATGTATGTATTTCGAAGGGGTTTAAAATCCTTGGGCAGAGAGTTCAATGCAAAATGCACCATCATATCCTCATCTACTGTCATGTTCAGCTCTTGTAGTTTTGCCCCAATGTCAATCATGTTCATAATATGAGCTCTAACACACCCTTGCCCATCATACTTCATGTCAGTTAGTTTGTTCAGCAGTGAGCTCTTGGCAGATTTTTCAGAAACTTTGAACCTCTGAGCTATGAACTCATAATATTCCTTTGCACTTTCAGTCTTTGGAATGCTGCCTTTAACAGAAGATGCCATAGCCCTCTGCATGATTAACATGGTCATCCTGTTTGCCTTTTCCCATTTGACATATCGAGCCTTGATTTCTGCAGAAGCACTTGTGGCAGGTGCTTTGAGAGGAGTTTCTTTGAGAACAAAGTCATAATCCAATAATCCTAAAGATATAGCCAGATCTTGTTTCCACTTGGAGTAGTTTGTTCCAGTCAAAGTTTCGATGGAATGATAGCTGGAGGTATTCACTGTAAATCACATTTAAATGAATAAAACTGTCCCCAAAAACTGTATTCAAACATTATCAATTCATATCTTTGGACCATGAATCAAACATGTTTTCAAAACACTAGATTATTATGGCTTAACACAACACCCTGCACAAGAAAACTTTAATCTTTGGATCAAAGCTTTCCCGTTTGTTTGTGTGAAACCTTTTATCCATGTTTTCCATCACAGTTAACATCAATTCATACTATTCCTGTCTTTGGATCGAGAAGAATATGAAAAGCTATGAACTGTGATGCAAATATTGATCAATCTGTTGATTTAAATTGTGTCTGCAACAGTTTAGGCTGCTATGGCTCGCCTAACTTATGCAGCTGCAATTTAAATCTATGAACAATAATCTTTCAAGTATGATCGAGTATGATACTTTATACTCCAGATCATACTTTAACAAATAAGATATGCAATTTTACTCTACATGACTAATTGATCAGAAAATTTATACAGATTTTAAAACAATACAGATTCCTTTTGAAAGTTTTAAAAAACAGCAAAACAGTTGTAGATTTAAGAACAAGACCTAGTGCTCTGATACCACATGTAAGTTCTTTCTTGTCTTTGAAACTTAAATACTAACCTTGTTCTGACATGGTAGCTTAGGATTTGTATAGAAGCCTTCTTCACCTATGCAGTTCTTTATCTCTTTCTCAGATGGGGTGATATTGCTTTTGAGAATGTTTAACTGCTAGGGAAGGGGCTGCTATTTATATGCATTAGGTTCAGGTATTTTGCCCATCGAAGAATACCTGATCCTATCCTGATTGCATTAGGAATAAGTGTTTCAATCCATATGTGATTAGGAATTCTCAAGGTTCTAGTTATCCAATTAATATTGCACTTTAACTAGAACTGCAGATCTGCTCTAATCCTATTTCTTGACTAACACCAAAGCTGTAAACCCAATGTGATTAGAAGACCATCTATAAGTGGATTAAGACGATGCAATGTCTTACAGTCTCCCACTTGGTCAAATAATCACAACAGTCCATGGTGTAATCACTTTAAGGCCTTGTGAAACAAGATAGAGCAATTCCTACTAAGCCACTGTCAATTACGAAAAACTCCAGTGAATTATCGAAATTACTTGAACAAAACATTTCAAGATTCCTATAATTACAACTGAAATCCTTCAAAATCACATAAGGCTTCGATCAAGATTGAAACCAGAAATCTGCATGACTTAACTGTCTGTGCAAAACAAGTCATGCTTCATTCATTGCCCCTTAATGACTACTAAGGTCTAATTGCAAAAAATTGCACAAATGTCATGAATATACTGTGTTATAGCAGTTACTTTATTTGCTAGCTATTACTGCTTTACATATACATTCAAGTATGAAATATATCCAAACAGATTAATTAATTAAAACAAAAGAAAACAACACTTTATAAATTCTCAAACTTCCAGATCATCCATCGAAACTTTTACTAATTAACCAAACATAACCACTGATCTTAAGACAAAACTGAAACGCTCCCACTGATCTTAAGACAAAACTGAAATGCTCCCACTGATCTAGCCACTCTTATCTTCCATTAATCCCATATTCTGAACATGTCTGTGAAAAGCTTCCTTTGGCAATCCTTTAGTGAGAGGGTCTGCCACCATGTCATTTGTGCTGATATGATCCAAAACTGTGTAGCCATCTCTTATCTTTTCTTTGACTGTAAGAAACTTAACATCCAAAATCCTTGAAGCCTTTGTTCTTTTGTTTCCCTTTGCAAACAAGACTGCTGCACTATTGTCATTCCACAGCTGTACAGGTTTATGTATAGAGTCCACTATTTTCAGGCTTGTAATAAAATTCTTCAACCACATTGCCTGTGCAGTAGCTTCATAACATGCTAAAAATTCTGCCAACATTGTAGATGCTACTGTTAGAGATTGCTTGATGCTTCTCCAAGATACAGCAGCATCTGCAAATGTAAACACATATCCTGATGTTGATCTGAGATCATCCTTACAACCTGCAAAGTCTGCATCTGCAAATCCTTCTAATGTCAAACTGTCACTTCTTTTAAATACCAACTTGTAATCCATAGTCCTTTTCAAATACCTTAATACCCTTTTGCCTGCAACCCAATGCGCCTGTCCAGGATTAGATTGAAACCTCCCTAACACACTAATAGGAAAAGCAATGTCAGGTCTGGTGCATACTTGTGCATACATCAGACTTCCTACCAAAGATGCATAAGGTTTGTCACTCATTTCAGCCTTCTCTTGCTCAGTTTTTGGTGCCTGTTCTCTGCTCAGTTTGTCTCCTTTTGATATAGGCATGTCAGTTCCACCACATCCTAGCATATTAAACCTTTGCAATACTTTTTCTATGTAGTTCTTCTGTGATAAACCAAGAGTTCCTTTCTCTCGATTCCTGCT